CAGAATAATTAAGATTTTTGGGGGGGGTTCAAAGAAGTCTCTTATGCTCACCAATACTGCATGTATATGATCAAAAACAGAATAAAAAGTAAAGTGAAAAATTACTACAATTTCAAATAACTGATTTTTATTTGAATACATTTTAAAATGTCACAAAATTGTTACATTATCCTTCAGAAATCATTCTAACATGCTGATTTGGTGCTCAAGAAACATTTCTTCTTATTATCAATGTTGAAATCAGTTTAAGCATTCAACAGAAATTTCTAAAAACAGAAATCAAAAAACTTAGCAATGCTAATAATAAGAAGAACCATTAACAACTGATAATAACTAAGCACCAAATCAGCACATTTTAATGATTTCTGAAGGATCCTGCGGAGGAATAATCAACATAGATATAAACATTTTTAAATATATTCAAATAATATTATTTCACAATATTAACTTTTTACTGTATTTTTATTCAAATAAATGCAGCATGGGAGAGAATTTTTTATTTTTTTTTAATAATTCCAAACGTTTGACCAGTAGTGTATTTAACAATATTTATATAATATAATAGTATATATAATATAATAGTATTTATAAATATTTTTAATATTGAAATGATACTAGCAATAATAACAATAATAATAATCATTTTAAAATTCATTGTAATTAAAATTAATTTGAATAATTCATTATTATTATTACAACGACATACATTATTATTAATATAAACAATTATTTTAACAGTGTCAAGTAATTGAGCAGACAAAATGACCATCCTCAATACACTCTAATAAATCAATTCTACACACATACAAGCATTACCTTCACATTTAGAGATTATGCAATAGTTGACTTTTACAACAGGTGCATTAGAAATTGTGATAGATAACATCGCCCTACCCTTCTCAATCTTCTTTCTTTATTGAAGGAGAGAGAACAATGCTCTTGTCTCTAATCTCAGTGCTTTTCTAATAACTTTCACGCTTAGTAACACATACAGCTGTTCCCTCACCACAATGCACCAGTGAAAAGTGACCCCTTTCAAACAGTGTCGCGTTCCGAACGTTGTTTAAGTGACATATACCGGTATTGCGGTATTTTCAAAATTCATATCATAACAAAAATAAACACCGGTATTCGGTATGAACCGGTATACCGCCCAGCACTAAATGATATACTGACCTACTTAAAGACATAAACAAGCCCTACACTGGGCGCCAGGTTTGTTGAAATCTCTGATTTTTACACCCAGAGAGAAAGTGAGAGGGAAACAAAAGGGAGAGAAAGAAAAGGAGGGCAAGATTTATTTGTTCTGGCAGCATGGCACTGGTGGGAACTCAGTTTGTTAGTTAGAAATTAACCTGAACTAGAGAGATGAAGTAGGACACGAGAACAACCTTCAAACACACAGCACACCTTCGTAGCACAACAAGACAAGTCTCAACTGAACCCTGAGCAAGAGCCACCAGACTTGGGTCTGAATGAGTGTGTTTGTGTTTCAAAACCAGAAGAATTGATAAACAGGTTTCTGCAACCCATCGCATTTTATCTCTTCAATTGCTTCAATGGCGTTATATCTGGCAGACACCGCCTAGTGACTTCACAAAGACTCTAATAACAAAATGACAGTTAAGACCAGGATTAGACGTGACACTAACTCTAAAATTAACTTACATTCTCGTTTGAAATGCTGACAGCCGGTACAGGCCTTTCTCTTGAATTTAAAGTCTTGGAAACGACTTTAACAAAGAGGATTAAGTGTGTAATGTGTGTAATTGGCAGAAACAGATCATGATAAATCAGAAGGTCATAGCTTCCGTCTAATGAAAAGCCCCTTTGTGTGTTCAGCCAAACTGCATTACTGGCATTACAATTATATTAGTGGCGCTTTTTGAGAGACAGATGGTGGGATTGCAGCAGAAAGTTTATTTGCAGGCAGAAAATTCTTTGATGTTTACGTGCTTTGAGCACCTTGTTCTCGAACGCCTGGGAGCTACTCTGTGTAAGACGTCCAAACAATGGGCCATTTATTTGGAGCAGTCCTGTGTGAATTTCTCATCATAATCCATAAACTACAGATGGACATTTCACATCATTCTTTTGGCAGAGGCTAGATGAACTTGATGATTGTTACTCATTCAGTACAACACTACACTGTGTATTAGGGCTGTGCGATTAATCGAAATCGAATCGAAATCGCGATTTGAGACGTTGCGATTTCCTAATCGCAAAGCCTGCGATGTGGACGCGATATTACTCTGTTCCAGAGCATATGCATGACTGCCAGCCTTGAGTTGCAAAAAAAATCGCAATTTGATATTTTCCCCCAAATCGCACAGCCCTACTGTGTATATAAGTACCATAGTATTACATAGTAATTTTTTTTCACAAGGGGAGCTGGTTTTCTGTAATTCAGTTGGCAGAGACGGAATGTTGCTTACAAAAAAAAAAGTACCATGATATACTACCATGGATTTTTGGACATGGTTTCATAGCAATAACTGCCTGTACAAAAAGTAGTGCGTCCATACCATAGTACAGTACTAGTATCAGATGCTCAAACAATTGAACTGAAATTAATTTACCATGATATTTACATGGTACTCCATGGTATATCAGTAGTGCATTGTTCTATGTCTAAGGTTGATATTTTGCTGATATATGATATGATACCTTTTAAGTACTGTACTGTAAATGTGGTTTCTTGGTATGGACAATGGTAACACCATGGTATTTTTTGACACACTCAGGAATACCATGGTTTTTAAGCATAGAAATTATTTAGTACCATAGTATATACAAATATACCATGGTATTACCATTAGATACCATGACTGAGCCATGGTAAAATTAAAGAGAAGCTGTGCATTTCTGTAATTCATTTAGCAGAAGCTGGATGAAATTAACATAAAAGTACTATGGTAATACCATGTTTTCGGACATGGTATTATTTAAGTTTCATGGTTTCTGAAATAACTTTAGTGTCTTTAGTGTCTGAGGGGGGGGGGGGGGAAA